CTACTCCGCGGATTTCTGTTGTGATTTTTTTTTGCAATCTGACAATATAATATTCAGTACATGTTTTAAAGGCAAAATAATGGTCATAGTACACATTACAGTTATTTATATGATTTAGTGGAGATTGGTTCAGCAACCTGTTGTTAGATCAAAATGAAAAGTGTTTGTTTAGTGATTACAGTCCCCAGCACAATAGGTAGCTGTAATATATAATTAAAAAAATAATATCATAAACATTTCAGAAAACTTAAGAAAAGGGATAATATGTCTGAATATAGCAGGATTTCCTTACTTTCTGGTTGCTTACTGGTGTTTTTTTGGGATGCTATGCTGTGAAATTAGTACTATAACTAATTTAACTCCTTGTAACCAGCAAATTGGCTTCTGTTTCTTCTGGGCCTTATGGGGAGGAAACAGCGCACAGTGACCTGTAAGTGTCTTATGCTTTGCATGTCGCAGCTCGATTTGCTTCATTAACCACACCTCCTTATCTATAATGCATCATCGTGTTGCTGAGTCATCACCATGTCCCTGCTTGCAGCTTCTGATTCAATGGCAGACCCTGTATTACCCAGGATTAGACCTGGGCAGACGCTCAAGCCGTGTGAACACAAGACAGTGTGCTGTAGTCTTTGAGATACCTTTTAAGCCAGTCTGCAAGTCATCCTAACCCAGGGTATCCTAATCCCACCTATCAAACCAGTCTGCAAGCCATCCTAACCCAAGGTATCCTAATCCCACCTATCAAACCAGTCTGCAAGCCATCCTAACCCAGGGTATCCTAAACCCGCCTATCAAACCAGTCTGCAAGCCATCCTAACCCAGGGTATCCTAAACCTGCCTATCAAACCAGTCTGCAAGTCATCCTAACCCAGAGTATCCTAAACCTGCCTATCAAACCAGTCTGCAAGCCATCCTAACCCAGGGTATCCTAAACCCGCCTATCAAACCAGTCTGCAAGTCATCCTAACCCAGGGTATCCTAAACCTGCCTATCAAACCAGTCTGCAAGCCATCCTAAGCCAGGGTATCCTAAACCCGCCTATCAAACCAGTCTACAAACCATCCTAATGTCCAGCCTTGTGACATTCTGGAAGATCTTATAGATATGACTGCAGTGCTTCATGCCAGCTCCTGCTTATCTGCATGTGAAATTCCGAAAGGTTCCGTTTTTGTGACCGACATAAATGTTAGCCTTGTCCGGTCCACTTGTTTTGAATGATGGCTCAGTTTTCTGTGTAGACCCTGCTAGTAGTTTTTGTGCTAGTTAGTGATTACTTTTGTTCGTGGGGGTGGAGTCGCCCTTTTTGACTCCCCTTTGCCCCCCTCCCGCTAATTATTGACTAGCCGATGTGTTTGTTTGAGCAGGTGAGATTCCCATGGAACAGGCCATGTTTCTCATTGCATATCTGCTCCTCTGTCCCTCAGTACCTTGGTGGCTCGTAAGACCCATACAGCCGGCGCAGAGCTAAGGCCATTGAGTCCGGTGTATCTGTCATCCATAGTCTTGAGGCGAGAGAGATGCAGTCCCCAGGTGTGCCTCCTGTCACTTTGGTCACTTGTCGATGCCTGTCTGCTGTCACCAGTCCTCACTGGTATCGCAGCTGCATTCAGCATATGGCAGAAGTTATCACTTTGTATTCTCCTTCCCTTCACTCCTGAGTCAAAGGTTCCATTCAGATGCTAGCTTTCGTTTCCATTTTGTTTGTATCTGTGTCCACATGAAAAAAGAAATTCGTTATCTGTGATAACTTCCCCTGCCAAAAGTATCCGGGACGTTCCTGACTGTTATGTCCGCCAGCGCTATGTGATCTGTGCTATACTTTGGCAGACTGTGTGAGAGAGACGCCATCTTACTGGCCAAGCAAGTGAAAAACCTGAGCGGTTCACCCAGGACTGATTCTGTAAAAATGTTATTTTATTAGACCCTTTTCATGTGGAATATGTGGCCAAGCTGGCTGAGCCGTCCCTGTTTGACAAAGCCTGCCTGAGTGACAGTTTAATGATTTATATTAACGGTGTGCAGTTTATCACTGAGGAGCCGAGCAGGAATGACTGGTTATAGTCGCAAATCAAATTTTGGTTAAGTGAAGTGCCTTTTGCTTATACATGTCTGTTTTTGTATCTGACAGTTTTTCTAAAAGACTTCATTGTGTTTTATGGCACAGAGTATAGGGGAGAAATAACCTCTTTGTGTGACATATCAGTCCAACGTAAGGGCACCATTTCATAGTTTATCGTGTATCCCTGAAGAAACCTGTGAAACAACCCGTTTTGTTTAATTGACACTATTGTTGAGAGCTTCCTGAAAGCTCTGAACTTTTCTTTGCACTGCGTGCGTTACTCTGGGAGATTTATCACACCTGAGAGAGCAGGGTGGGCGTGGTCTTTTTCTCACGTCTGATTGGCTGAGAAACAGGTGCTATGGAAACCTTGTTTTGATTCAAATTTTTTAACTTTGCTGGAACAGTCTACTGGGGGTTTTTAACAGATAACGCTTGGCCCTCAACAGCCATTTAAAGCCCTGTTTTTATAGTGATTACAGTGCAGCTTATCACTGGCTTTTACAAAGCACACTAATATTAAGAGAATGATCTTAAGTAAAATTAAAAAGTAAAGTTCATGTTTATACTATATGTGGATGTGAGTGGATAGGCTTGCGATATGTGTCCCATCTATAGGGCTAGGAAAAACCCTTTGTCTGTCATTTGTGGAAAAAGACCAAATTAGAAACTAATTCCATTGAGGAAATCCAGTTATTTTTAGAATGGACTAGAAGGGTAGACAGCTGATCATGTGTGGTCCAGAGATAGTGATTGCCTCAGGGTGACACTGGCTAACGGCTCTTTCCAGTTTGTCTGACCATTGTCTTTGGGAAACCTACCCGCTCCTATTGGGGGGGGGGGGGGGGTCTATGGTGGTTGAGGAACTGCAAGAAGAAAACACATTAAGCCTGAATGAGGGTGTTACCTGGTTTTGTGGTTGGGGACATCCTGTGCTGGCAATGGGGGACTCTCTGAGGGGATAAGGGCGCAGGGAACCCTGGGTTACTGTCCGTCCATCCATAGTGCCTGCAGTAGGCTCAAAGACCATGACAAATCAGCCAGGACGTCCCGTTTAGGACTGTAGCACGCAGACCAGTCCATGGAGGAGCAGAACTGGTGACTATTTGCCACAGTACTGAGATCCCCCAAAGCAACCTGTCCCACGGTTTCTGGGGTGAAGGCGGGGGGGGGGGTGGGACGTTTCAGCAGTTTGGTGTGTCCCACATTCACACAACGTCCAGCTGCAGAACGGGAATTTCTCTGGGTCTAAAACAAACAACAAGGTGTGTGTGAAATATGAGAGCCTGTTAAGGGATTATCGTTTTGGGCTAAGTCCAGGTTTACAGGCATCTAGCTGCTTAGAGAAGTCCGACGGGAATTCAGCTTCACCGCTCCTATAGGGTTCTGTGCCTTGGATACGTTGTCATGGGAATCCAGTGTGAGCTGTGCGTGTATTTCACGCAGTGCAGACGAACACAGTGTTGTTTTCAGAGTGTAGAGTGTAGCTTCCGTTTCTGTTTGAAATAACGTTTCGTTACATTATCGGAACATCTCTAGGAAGAAAACAACTTTGCATATTTCAGCTTAAATAACGACTTTTGTTGAAACTTCCCGTGATGTCGGATACTGTAACCACAAGGGACAGATGATTAGCTCGCACTTCCTGGGGATGGACAGTCTGCCTTACCAAAATGAAACACCTTCCCTGTCTGTCGCTGCTGGTCACTGGCTGGGACTGTGACTATGGCAGTAGTTCAGGCGTGTTTTCTGTGACTTGTCATTTGTGCTGTACACTCTCTCCTGAGCCTCCTAGCCATGAGCAGAGTGGCTCTGTCTTTCAACAGCTTGCTGTTTCTTTAAGGGGCCTCCAGCAGCTGTTGCCATAACCTACTTGAAGTTTTGGTCACAGGTGACATTTGGTCTCTGTTTTTTATTGGTTTCAAGGGAGTCACCTTGTGTGTGTGTGTGTGTGCCTGGGGTCAATCTTCAGGGAAATGGAGCTGAATGAAGCCAGCAGGTGGAACAACAGACACCAGAGAGTAGTTGGCTGGGGGCTGGACCCCCCCACATCCAAAGATCTGTTCATTGGCGTCTCTTTGGACATGGTCACTGCAGCACACATGCTCATCAGGCGGTCAGGCAGGGCGAAAATGGCTGCCCTCCCTCTGTCCTGATCGTGGACGGCATGCTGAGTAAGGCCTGCTGAGTAAGGCCTGCTGACCTGCCTTTTGACCTGCGGGTCAGGGGTCCCACGAGCCGGGTGACACGCCAGGCTGCATCTGGGCTACGTGGCTCGCTGGTTAAACCCTAGATCCTGCTTTACACAAAAAGGGGGGGAGTCTGTCAGTTCCTCTGATCTAGTGGAAGCACAGTGACAGGTTCTTAGGTTGGGACATTAAGTGCCGGTTAAATCTCCCCGACCCGTGTGATGGGACACTGTCTCTGTTTCAAAAGTGTGTCCTCTGCAACTGCTGTTTTCTGTGGTGACGTCCGGTTTTTGGAAAATGGGGCCTGTGGGTAATGTGATTACAGAGTGATTATGGTGTGGCAGTGATTATGGGTCAGTAGCTATGAGAACTGCACTGTTTTGATGTAAAGCCCCTCTGTTTGGACTCCGTGTCATTTCTGACACTCTCCTGGGCCTGTGTTATGTTTCATTTCACCAGTGTTGGGAAACTTATTCACAAAAATAATCCATTACAGACAGAGGTGTAAGGTTCAGGTCCAGAAAGTACAAATTCAGATCAGGGTTTTGTTCCAACCAACCAGTTGAGTACTCTCTGGCAGTGACTCTTTATACTGAACTGGTTAGTTGAAACAAAACCTTGGTCTGGATTTGTACTTTCTGGACTGGAACTTTCTGCCTTTGTCTTTAGTGGATTACTTTTGTGAGCTGCTTCCCCAACACTGCATGTCGCTGATGTGACTGTCATAACCCAGTGCCTCCTCGTTGCAGACGGGCTGCACCGCGTGACGGCACTGTGCTCACTGCGCGTCACCATCATCACGGACGACATGCTGACCAGCAGCATCACGGTGCGGCTGGAGAACATGTCGCAGGAGCGCTTCCTCTCGCCGCTGCTGGCGCTCTTCACGGAGGGCGTGGCCGCCGTCTTGTCCGCCCGCCGCCACCACGTCTTCGTCTTCAACATCCAGAACGACACGGACGTGCGCGGCAGCGTGCTCAACGTCACCTTCTCGGCGCTGCGGCCCGGCTCCGGCCCGGCCCGCTACATCCCGTCGGAGGAGCTGCAGGAGCAGGTGTACCTGAACCGTACGCTGCTGCGTCTGGTGTCCGGCCAGCACGTGCTGCCCTTCGACGACAACATCTGCCTGCGCGAGCCCTGCGAGAACTACATGAAGTGCGTGTCGGTGCTGCGCTTCGACAGCTCGGCGCCCTTCATCGCCTCCAACACCGTGCTCTTCCGGCCCATCCACCCCGTCACTGGGCTCCGCTGCCGCTGCCCGGCCGGCTTCACCGGCACCTACTGCGAGACCGAGATCGACCTGTGCTACTCCGGGCCCTGCCGCAACAACGGGCGCTGCCGCAGCCGTGAAAGCGGCTACACCTGCGAGTGCCTCGAGGACTTCACAGGTGAGCCGGCCTCTGGGGTCCCACCCTGCATCCACTGTTGCTCCTCTGTGGTCTGTGCTCTGTACTTTGCGTTCTGTGTTCTGTGCTCAGTGCTCCGGGTTTTGCTTTGTAGTCAGTACTTGGTCCTCATTGCTCAGTGCTCTGTGTTTAGTGTTTGGGTGTTCATTGCTTAGTGCTCAGTGTTTGGTGCTCAGTGTTCAGAGACGGTGTTTTATGACTCTGAGATAGGAGCTGGTTCCCAGTGCTGAGCACCCAAATGGCTTCACGGGAACCTTCCAGGTTCTACCATTCCATTCCATATCCTGGTGTATTATGGGAGCAGTAAGGTCCACTAAAATTGGCAGGAAGGGTTCCTCAGCCTGCAGCCAAAATGTGACAGTGACACCCCCCGCCCTCATCAGCAGCCTCCACGGCATGGCTCCACCCTCCTCTGCCCACATTAGGGTCTATTTCCCCTCCCTGAGCCCCTCCCCAAAGTGGGGGCCTTCGACCTGCTCCTCGACTTCCTTCAAGGGGACAATTACCAGCTAATCACCCCTGTCCGGTGGGGGGACCAGCCTTTGAAGGTCACAGTTCAAGCCCAGGTAGATTCTGGTCATTACGGTGCTGATGACAGCCCCTTCGCGCCCCCCCCCCTCCATTCTCACATTAGAGGAAAATGGATCCCCCTAATGGAGGGATTATCTGCCCCTCTAGTTGGCTCCTTTACCATCGCAGCAGCTACATCCTGTGTGCGGATCTTGTGTGGAAAATATGCGGCGAGTTAAAGCTGGACTGACAGGACTCCCGTCCCTCCCGGTCCAGGAGCCTCAGTGGCACCGCCGATCGCACGATCACTCATCTCCGGCGGGACTGCCATCAGAAGCCCATGGTGTCCCATCCGGGCCATGGGAGCCGGGGACGACAGGGGTCTGCTGTCAGCAGACGGGGCCCAGTGCTCTGGGGGACATGCCAGCCTGTGGACCAGGATGTAAACGAGGAGCCCGGCCTGNTAGCTGTCGTTAAACATTAAGCAGGTCATCAAACATTAACCGCACATTCCAACTGCTGACTAAAGCCCCAGTAAACTGAAGGGAAGGGGGACGTTCTGCCAGTGGAGGAATGGGGAGGGGGTCAGGGGGTCTGCCAGTGGAGGAATGGGGAGGGGGGAATCTGCCAGTGGAGGAATTTGGGGGGGGGGCGGTCTGCCATCTTCATTCCGTGTTGTAGATGGCTGAGCTGGTCACTGTGTTTCCTGTCTTTGTGGAACAACCTGACAGGGTTCTTGTTAAAATATATCTTTTGCCAAACAGATGCCTCTGTGTCCAGCACTGAAGTCTAGAGAGAGAGAAAGAGAGAGAGAGAGAGAGCGAGAGAGAGAGAGTAAGAGAGAGAGAGAGAGAGCGAGAGAGAGAGAGTAAGAGAGAGAGAGAGAGCGAGAGAGATATGGTGCCTGTTACTCTGTCTCATGCATCTGGCTGTGTTTGTCTTCTGCATGGACATCCTTCCCATTCCAGTGCTTGTTTACCTCCTTAACCTGACCCCTCCTAAGGGTCACATGGCGTTCACAGCGAGGGGCGGGGTCTGTCTCGTAGGCCGGGGGAAGCTCCCTGCGGGTTAGAGATACACCCCTGCTGCAGAACGCCGGGGTCAGGTCAGGGCGGGAACAGGGGTCCAAGTGCAGTTTGCTCTGACATGCTTCAGTAAACCTTCAGAACAAAAATATTTGCTAGGTATCTAATAACATATTTTCATGTGGATAATTACATAAACTGTAAGGTTTCACCCCTCTTTAACAGGTATTCAAAGCTGTACTCCAAATAGAGGTCGCTCAGGATTATGGGTAATGGAGGCTGTTGAGGCTTTTGATCAGTCCTGCTGGGGGGGGGGGGGGTGTCCATGATAACGGCTTTGACCTGTTACTTGTCCCTTCCAGGTGAGCACTGCGAAGTGGACACCCGCTCTGGGCGCTGTGTGCCGGGCGTCTGTAAGAATGGGGGTAGGTGCGTGGACCTCCTGGTGGGGGGGTTCATGTGCCAGTGCCCCCCGGGGGAGTACGAGAAGCCGTACTGTGAGATGACCACCCGCAGCTTCCCAGGGCAGTCTTTTGTCACCTTCAGGGGCCTGAGGCAGAGGTTCCATTTCACGCTCTCCTTCATGTGAGTATTCTGTACCATGTCAAGTGAGTACTTTGTACCGTGTCATGTGAGTACTTGGTACTGTGTCCTCTGAGTACTCTGTACTGTGTGCCATGTGAGTACTTGGTACTGTGTCCTCTGAGTACTCTGTACTGTGTGCCATATGAGTACTCTGAACCGTGTCATGTAAATATTTTGTACTATATCATATGTGTTTTCCATGTTATGTCCTGTGAGTACTCTGTACATTGTTGTGTGAGTACTTTGTACTGTGTCCTGAGTACTATATGTGTGCCTTACGACTATTGAATACTGTGTGTAATATAATCCCTTAGCCATGAGAGAATGGCAGAGAGATGATACGTGCCGGTCGAGGTCGTTTGGGCAAGCCCCTAATTGGTGGAGCATGGATGCACTGAATAGCAGTGTGCAGAGAGCCTTGTTGGTGTCCGAGCTGCCCAGCGCAGGCAGACCACTGTATTTTGTCCCAGCGGGATATCAGTACTATGACTGAAAAACAAAGAGCAGCAGCTTTCACACATCTGTGGAATCAGCGTGGTATTACGTGGTGGAAACAGGTCACCACTGGGCTGAGGAGCAGAGCGGCATGCAGGATGCGAGCAGATGGTACTGGGCAGTCTCACTGGCAAACGGGAGCCTCGGGGGCCTCGGCCAGGGCTGCCGGCGGCAGTAAAAACAGGAAGCATTTGCTGCGTGCCAGTGCTATCGGCGTTTGCGTGTGTAGACAGCGGCTTCCTGATATCCTGGCCTGAGCCGCCTGGTCTCTGACTCCTATACCCCCCCCGCCTGGGTCACTGCGGTGCCCACTCCTGACGTTGGTCACCCAGCCCCCAGCATCGCCCCCGCACATGGCGGCCCGTCCTGCCCATTTTCCTTTCCCTGTTTCCGGGCTTTTTCCCTGCTCCCATGACCCTGTCTGTCTGCACGGGCTGCTGCGCCTGCCGGCCTGCGGTGGACCTGCCCTTGGCTCTGTGACCGCAGCTGCGCTCTCTTGTGTGCTGTGAGGCTGACTGAACCCTGATTCCTTGCAGGTTTGCCACACAGGAGAGGAACGCCCTCCTGCTCTACAATGGCAGGTTTAACGAGAAACACGACTTCATTGCCCTGGAGATCGTGGAGGAGCAGGTGCAGCTCACCTTCTCCGCAGGTAAGATGCTCATGCCATGCAACACACTTCCGTGTTTCCCACATTTGTTTTTCCTGCGTGCCTTCCCCACCTGCAGTGATCGTTCCTGTGTTTGCAAGCAGTGCATTTGGGCGCCTGCCCTTGATCGTCATCCTGCAGGCGCTCAGCTTAGGAAGCATCTGGCCCAAGAGCAGTAACAGGCTTCCAGGCCTTTCCGTAACCTCCCTGTCCCCATGATGTTCCCTGCGCTCCAGCTTGCAAGGACAGCTGTGACAGGACCCTGATCCCGGTGCATCGAGAATGTTCCTCATAAAGGCGGGATGCTAGAGAGAATGTCAGGGAAATGGGCACCAGCACAAGGCCCAGAGAGCGTGGGGCCCAGAGAGCTTGGGCCCCAGACAGCGTGGGGCCCAGAGAGCTTGGGCCCCAGACAGCGTGGGGCCCAGAGATCGCAGCGGGCCTGGAAAGTGCAGGGCCCATTCCGAGACAGAGGAAGGCAAACAGATGGATGGATTGAGTGTCGCACTGTTTACCAAGCCTGCGAGCACATTCCTGCCTTTGGCAAATACTCACTAAACCCCCCCCACCACCACCCCCCCCCCACCCCCCCATTCCGTGACCACACCGCAATCGGTTTTCGAAATCCGATTCATCCGTGTATGGTGCGTTGGCAAAAACAAGCACAAAGTAGGCAGATGGATCATGTAGGAACATGAGCGGCGAGCTCAGCGCATGCCTGACATTCCTGTCCCTGTCACCTGCAGGCGAGACCAAAACCACAGTGTCCCCACATGTCCCCGGGGGGGTCAGCGATGGCCAGTGGCATTCGGTCCAGCTGCATTACTACAACAAGGTAAGCAAGGCAGTCGCACGCTGTCACAGTGTGGATGTCTATGGGGACATAAGGATCCCCTTCCTGCTCTTCTGAACCATTTGCTGCTTGGCTCTTACTTGCTGTCGGTATTTGGGGCCTCTGCCTCTAGTTTGGGTCGGGATCTTTCTCATCCTGATGTTTGCGGTCAAGGCTAGTGGCAGTGTACTGTGATCAAACAGGACCGCCCACTGCATGGGGGGTGGGGGACCAGCTGTGGGGAGCCCAGCTGTCAGAGTCTGTGGGGGGGGGGTGTGCTCTACTGTGTGTGGTTGATTTACACACACCTTTGATCGGGGGACGGCCGTCCAAACGCTGCCCTGTGGGGTATAGCTGTGTGATTTAGGTGCTCTCTCGGTGAATGGTGCTGTTTAACACGCCTAATGGAAAAAGTGTGTTACTGCCTTCAGGATAAAGCTGTGGGGCGAGTATCCATCACCTAGGTAACTGTCTTGGGAATCTTATTGGCTCTTTATTAACACACAAGCTGCCAGGAAGATTAAAGTTTCCCCACTCATGATGGAAAGGCTCCAGGACCCCAGTGGCCTTGGGATCAGGGGAAAGTGACAGAGGGGCACTGGGTCGTTGCCCTTCTGCGTGCCGGGTGGATGGAACGCCTCTCTGGTTGACCCCTGGGTTCAGAGTTTTGGTGGTCGTCCTAGCAACAGACATCTCTGTGACATGGCTGGAATTACAGAAGGTGACAAATCAGGGAATTCCTCTTGTATTTTTTCTGGGGCTCGTGCGCTGAAACAGGCGGCCCTCAGTGGGTCATTGTTTTTGTGGGAGAATCCTGCGGGAGGGATCAGGAATGGGGAATGTGGAATTGGGAATGAGGAATCAGGAATGAGGAATCTGAAAGAGGGAATGGGGAGTGTGGAATGCTGAATTGAGAATCATGAATCCAGAATAGGGGATGGGGAAAGGTAAATGGGAATATTTGAAGGAGGAATGTGGAATAAGGAATGGGGAATGCGGATTTGGGAATAAGGAATCTAGAAGAGGGGCGGCTCTGTTTGCACCGAGGTCTAGACACAGCATCTTAATCTGCTCGCCGTGATCCAGTTCAGAGGTAAATGTGAAGGTCGACTGCCTGGAAATAAGGCTCAGACCAGGAGAGCCTGACCAGACTGAGCCAGCTTTAATTTGCTTGCTTATCTTCTGAGAGAGTGAAGTATGTTTTCATGTGGGATGATGGGGGGGGGGACCCCAGATAACCCGGCCCAGTTGGACTCACATCGTTGGGTCAGGGCCGGCTCTCGGTCCTCTATACAATCTTTCACTGAAATGAGATGAAGATGCACAGATAGGGAACCTAGATAGGGAACCTAGTGACCAGAAGCTTCTGTGGACATCGGGGACGATGCTGGGTGCCGGACAGTGGGTGGAGCTCAGCTTCTCAGCGGTGCTGGGAGCGGGACAGGGTAGCAGTACCAAGGTCTGTTCTGTACTCCACAACCCTGAAGGTGTCCTCTGGTGTGTGAACATGTCGTTCTCCTGTCTCCACACCCCGTGTCTCATGGTGTAGCCTCCACTGCCGCCTCGGACACCTGCCTTTCGGCCTTGAGATGCCAGCTTCAGGTCATCATTTCACTAAAATGGATCATTATTTTGACGGTTCTATTACTGTTGTATAAATATCATGTTGAAAGAATATGTCAGTGTTAGAATTTGGGTTAGTGTTCAGATTAGGGTTATGGGTAGGGTGTTATGGTAAACAAGTAGGGGCTGGTGACCTGACAGCCAGTGCCTACAGTCTCGCTGGACAGTGATTGGGTGATGTTTTGGGTGTAGCATGTGGCTCAGCGAGATAGGCCTCTTTGCTTCTGATCTCTAGGTCATCAGTTCGATCCTCACTCTTGGCAGAACAGGCACGGCTCCACTGGGGCCTTGAGCAAGGCTTTTAATCTCTCAAATCACCGGATAAGTGGCCTGACCCTGTGCTAGAACGACATTTGATGGGAAAACAAAAGACTTCTGATGCAACTGTACTTCTGCAAATGGCAAGATAAGGCATCATTTCAATGGGAATTGAGTTGCATGTGAAAGGTTAGGGATGTGGGTTTACCAGCACTTATGTGACATGGGGATGTGATCCAGTCTTGTGGTGGTGCTCACAGAAGGTCAGACTGACACCCATGGTAGCAGAGCTGCATTCCAATACATCTGTAGGTGCTGGGGTCCCAAACCTTCTGGGGCTTGGCACTAATGGAGAGACGCATAGCAGAATGAGTGATCCGACATGCAGTGAGGCGTCTATCAGTAACAGCAGTGCAGTCGACAGACCGGCTTGGAGGTTTTGTCCGCTCTGCTGTGGAATCCTAAACGTGCTGGAGGTGTGCACCTTCATCTCCTCACTGGATTTATGACGGGCTTCAAAGAAGCAGCCCCTCCCTGACTGAAGCGGCCCGACCGCTGAGAAATTTATGACGTCTTGGCTTTCGTGGACCTTTGATGGGGCGTACAAAGCGGCTTGGTGTTTTGCTGCTTTCAGGCAGGGAGGTGGAATCGGAACACGATTTATGGGATGTTTTTATGGACAGTGCGGAGAAAGGGGGGAAGATGACCTTTGTGCTCTCATGGGGTCAATGAGCCGGGTGCAGCATCGCCATTTCTGCTCACATTTTGTGTCAAACCTATGGTGTAAAAATGTCTATCATCTTACTGAAGAATCTGTTGGTGAGGAGGTGAGTTGGGTCGGGGTGGGGGGGGGGGCAGTAAGGGTTTATTATCTGCAGAGAGTCACGTTTCAGCCGATTACTCCCATCAAAATGGCGGTTTAACGCAGGCCTCCCTGCTGACAGATCTGGCCGGATAGTGCAGGTCAGGAGACTGCTGGAAAACCAGAGTATTAATAAAAGGTGGAATTTTATCTCGCGGCTCACGTCCATGTTTCTCAGATGGGCACGGAGATGGGGGCACGGAGATGGGGGCTCAGAGATGGGGCCATGCAAACAGGGACATGGAGACTGGCGCGATTACCCCGAGTCACTCCCTTGTCAGCATCACAGTCTAATATCACACAAACTGAGCACAAGAGTGGCGGGATTTGTGCCAGCAATCGGAAGGTTGCTGGTTCGAATCTTGTGAATCCGGCAGTGATCTTCCTCTGTTGGGTCCTTGACCAAGGCCCTTAACCTGCAGTTGCTCTCTCCTGGGTATGATGTTAATCTGCATCCAGCCCTGCAAGCAGGTCCTCCAGCTTATGGGGAAATTTGGGAGTTGGTGGCAGGATTGGGACCACATCCACCAGAAAAAACTCACACTGGTCCATCTGGACTGGTGTGGAGCTGAGGTACCACCTACTGCATGGCTGCACTCAGGTTCACATCCCTGAGGTGGTTTTCATGTGGTGGGTACGGCAATGTGCTGTAATCAGTGCGCACCACTTACCTACCTGAGGACCAGCACAAGTCTAGATGTCTGCAAGCTCCTGTATGGACTCCATCTGACTCCTGTTCATGTACCATCTAAGTGTGACTTTTGTGACTTGTCTCCTGCAGGGACTCCCTTTGACTTCTGTATGGGTTCCACCTGATTCCTATATGGACTGTTTGTCTTTGTCACTCTTGTATGGGCTCCCTCTGACTTGTATGGACTTTATATGACTCCTGTATGGACTCTTTTTGACTTGCCTCCTGTATGGACTCCATCTAACTCCTGTATGGAGTCTTAGTGACTTGCCTCCTGTATGGACTTCATGTCCTATAGGATTGTATGTGTAGGTCAGAGGTCAGCATGAAGTTCTCCCACTAAGCAGGGAGCTACATTTTCCTGAGAGCGGCTTTGCTTTGTGGACCTTCTCCCGAGACACTGTGAAGCTTCAGTGCAAAGGAGCATTAGCAGTGTGAGCTGGTGTTTCTGAAAAGTATCCCCCCCCCTCGCTCCAACCCCGCCCACCCCGGGGCATGGATATTAGCCTAAACCACACTGGGATTTTCCTTTAAACCTCAGAGCATGTTTTTGTTGGCAGCTTTCTATACAATCCCATCTGCCAGCACAGGCTAATCTACACACAGGTTGGTCCTGTAGACCTGTCAGGTATTTCAAACAGAAACCCACGGCATAATTACTCCTCTGGCTCTAATTATGAATCTCAGTGTTGAATGTATATGTACATTAATTTAATGTCGGTGCATCTGTGTGAATGTTAGAGGGGACTTTATTTTCCATTAGCAGTGGCATCCTGTTGAACTTCTGCCTGAGCATTATCTGGATGCTAATGCTTACCATTCGCGATCCTGACCTCATAAATGATACCAGATCTACAGGTGAGTCAATTATATGAGGGAGCGGATGTTTGTTCTGGGATGGATAGAGGGCACAGAGACACAGGGGTGGTCTGGGTGGGCGTGATCCACACGATTCCTCCCAGATCCATGTCCACCCAGATAGTCTCCTCAGCTTATAGATAGTAATAAACTGGAAGCTGGAGCGTTTTGGTGCATTTATGCTGTGGTTCATTATGGAAAATGCGGTTATTCCATGGATTATTATGGAAAGTCTGGTTATTCCATGGATTATTATGGAAAGTTTACTCATTCCATGGATTATTACAGAAAGTCTGCTTATTCCATGGATTATTATTTAAAGTGTGGATATTCCATGGATTATTATGGAAAGTGTGGTTATTCCATGGATTATTATTTAAAGTGTGGATATTCCATGGCTCATTATGTGAAGCGTGTTTATTCCGTGGTTCAGTATGGAAAGTGTGGTTATTCCATAGTACATACAGAAAGCATGTGTATTCTGTGGTTCATACGGGAAGCGTGTTTATTGCGTGGTTCTTTACAGAAAGTCAGGTGTGGTATGAAGGTATGCACAGCCGACACCTGCTGAAAAAAGCACATGTCTCACTGTTACCTTATGTTACATGAAACCACAAGACAGAAAGCATGCTTGTTTCTCCTGCCTTTAAATGGCCAGACGCCTGATTAATGGCTTCTGAAACAGTAGGTCAGTAAGGAGATGCTGTAACG